TCTCTCTCTCTCTCTCTCTCTCTCTCTCTCTCTCTCTCTCTCTCTCTCTTAGTCTGCTCTCATTTTCTCTCTCTAGGCGACATTTATAGAGTGGTCACAAGCAGAGGAGCGGTCTGTGAGGCGAAAGAAGGACGATGGTGCTTTTCAAAGGCGAGAGAATATTGATAGGGAATATGAAAGAAACGCGCCTAAGGCGCGTGTCCATCAATCGGGTGTGTGGTGTGCCCACGTGTCCAATCTACTACTCGCGGCTACGAACACGGGGACAAAGATAACCCGCCATGTCGGACATCCACAACGAGGCGCGCGTGGGTCTACTCATTCCCTGCTGTTCGTATGAAAGTGGTGAAACTGATAAGTACACTGCCTTATTGATATGTTATATCTGTATTGATAAGAGCGATGTTCTTGAGGTGTGATAAAAGATTTTTGCTTATCACTTGGCGGAAAATGCGTGCTTCGAGAAGTAGAAATAACTCTCATTCATGCTATTAAATTACACTAACGAGGTGACGTGATCAGTGACGAGTACTGTCCTTATTTTATTTTTCGTAAAAAAAAAGGTTCAATATGATTGTTTTTTTTTTTTACATGGACCTTCCGGTTTCCGGATCCACAGGTGAACCGACTAATCCGAAATCGAGCCGAGTATGACAACAAGGGCGGCAAAGCTCTCCCTCAAGAGTTTTTAACACTGCTGCATTCTCAGGGCTCAAACACGAAACCACTGGTTAAGCTGGAAGAGACTCAAGTCATCTCATCCAAGCGTTCTTGAGTTTCAATATGATTGCTTTAATTTGATTTCTATTATGCGTTTTGTTTCAATAAATTTATTGGACCTTTTTTTAGCAATCATATTGTTATGCACCTTATCAAATATAAAATTTAAATTATCATTTTTCTAAAGAGAAAAGGTTCATTAACATCTCTACCTAAAATCTATTTAAATTCAAGGTTAATCGTGTTATTATTCGCCGCCCCACCTTTTACTAAATATCGCCCCTCTAAAAGACATTTTTGTCTTTTCTATTTAAAAATAAAATAAAAAATTGTAACCTGAAAAAAAAAATCACACATTCAAACCTAACAAAAAATTCAACAAATATTAAAAATTCCGAAAAAATGGAGGGACAACCTTGAGGCATCGGGAAAGGATTCTCCAATCAACAAGTAATTTTTTTTACTAGAAAACGAATTAAAAAAAAAAATCAAAATTTGCCGGCCGGCATGCCGGCAAACGCGGCCCGCATTGGCTGGGACGACGGACGACCGCGGGCAATACTTGCTTGGCCACGATATTCGGGTCGGTCGTCCCCTCTGCGGCCGCGTGCCTTTCATTGTGCAGCCGCTGACAGCCTCCGGCAACCCACTTTGCGGCTGCTCGCAGCCACCGACGGTCGCCCATTCCTTTCGCCACCGCATGCGGCCGAAACTATTTTTTTTAAATAATGTTTAAATATTAAAAATATATTTAAGTTATTTCATAAATATTAATATGTATTTAAAAAAAAAATAAAAAATTAGTAATAAAATATATTAATATAATATATATTTTATAATTATTGAAAAAAATACAATAAATATATATTAAAATAATATATATTAAAAATTATAATAGTAATTAGTATAATTATAAATTTTTAATAGTAATACTAATATAGTTTTTATATAGTAATATAATTTATAATAATTATACTAGTTACTAATATAATTTTTTATTATACTAATATAGTAATTAGTATAATTACTAATATAATTGTACTAAAACTTAACGAATTGAACCTTATTTAGATGTTTGACCCATCAAATTTGCTAATAAATTTTTTTGGTAAAGAGTTTATTTTATTAGTTTTTTTAGTACAAAACACTAATTCTGAAAAGCTCAATGCAAAAGCGTTTAGAGAAGAGAGAATTCGTCAAATAACTAACACAATTAGTTATCTTGATAGATTTTATCATCACTTTAGTTTCTTTGCAAATCGTTACACAAAATTTTGAAAAGTGAATTGTTGAATACTGTCCCCTTTTACGACTTACAATCCTCTTGGATAGTTTTGCCCCTACATTTTTTCTAACAAGTAAAAAAAAAATTCCCACCGACCGGCCGGAGCCGCACCATGCAAGGCCACAATCGCTGGTTGGACGCACAGTTTCCGGCCGGCAGAGCACTTCTTTTTATATATATCAAATTTTTATTTATTATATAAATTATAATTTATATAGTTTAATTATATAAACTTTATTGAATATATTATATAAACTTTTATAAAATTTATAATTTTGTTATAAATTTATATAAATTATATAAATGTATATAACTTTATATAAAATTTACAAGTTTTTTTAATAATAATTTTTTTTATTTATTATATTAATATATGAATTTTATTATATAAATTTATTAATTTAAAATTTATATAAAATTTATATGAATTTTATATAATTAAATTATATATATTTATAAAATTCATAGTCAAGTTTTTATTCTTTTTTTTTCAAAGCAATAGATAATATTATAAATCAAAAAACACAAATGTGCGAATACACAGCAGCCAACAACTAAAAAAATTGGGTGGACAGGTCAGAAGACCGCCTAAAATCCCGACTAGCAACGCTAGAATACAAAATTCGCAACTAAAAACCAACTACTCAAACTAAAACAACTAAAAAAGATCCCAACAGGGTAATACCCGAGTATCGCATCCCAACAGGATAATAAGTATGACAATCGGGCTCACAGGGGCCAACGACCCAAACCGAATACACAAGACACGCACAACACAATTACGAAAACAAAAACAAGAACACAAAAAACTAAATAAATCTAATAGCCCTTCCACAGCGAGCGAGCAAGCCCAAACCAGCAGTGAACGATCGACACAAGACCAATTCAAACCAAGCAGCTACCGAAACTGCAATCAAGCCTATACAATAGCGCAACCCAAATCCCGAATCAACCAATAGAAAACCGAGAGAGCCATAGTCCATCCCACTCTTATTTCATCCGAACTCTTCCAACACCACCAGACGAGGCCAATAGAACCTCCCTCGCCGCCTAACACCACTAGTCAACGGGGAATCGAGTAAGAGAAAAACAGCCCTCCCCCCGACCGCAGCGACAAGGAGCGACGTGGTAACCAGGGTCCCGCACCGCCCGACGACTCGCACTCCACCCATCACCACTACAGACATCCAACGACAATCGCCCCAGCCCCATCAGAAGAGGTGAAGCGCCGCCGGAAACATCCAAATCTGGCACTCGCAAACAAAGGGCAGAAAAACGGGGCTTACCTTCACAAACCGCGACTCCTCTGATGACTGAAAAGAAGATTTCAATCTCCAGCCTTGCTTCGACCTCAAGCCGCACCACCGCCGTCCGGAACTCCATCTGCGACCGCGGACCTGACGCCCCGTCAATGGACCATCTGAAGCTGAAATAGGGGCGCACTTCGCCAGGGGGACAGCGAACGGTTGAGGACGACCCCTAGCCGAGCTTTACCGTCGCCGATGAAGGCGGATTCACCAGAAAATCGATAGATGTAAAGTGTTAGGTTTTCGTCGTGAGAGAATTGGGGTTGCTTTCTTATAACAAAAATATATATATATTTGTAAAGTTTCTATTCATTATGAAAATTATATAATAAATAATAAATTCAGTTACAAAAAAGTTATAGATTTTTTATAAATTTGTATTACTTTTTAAAAACAATATAAATTTTATTTAAATTTTTAAATTAATAAATTTTATTATATAAATTATAATAAATAACTTATATAGTAAATAAAAATTTGTTGAAAAAAAAATCTCGTTGTCCAACCGGCAAAGCCGGTCGTGCACGGTGCGTCCTAGCAAAACTGACGTGCACGATCTGTCTTACCGGCGAAACTGGACGTGCACGGTTTGTCTTACCGGCAAAACCGACCTGCACCGTGCACGGCCGGTTTTGCCGCCCGCTCGGCGAGAGCATTTTCTTTTCTACTTTTTAGAAAAAATGTCAGAGAAAAAATTGTCCAAAGGGACGATTGTAGTAATAAGAGGCCGTAAATAGTAGCACCTTTTTGAAAACTGATCATCGAAATTCGATTTGTCCGAGAGAGACTTCTTGTTGACATGTAAAAGTTGTTTATTTTTATTATTTCATGGCACTTATAGTATTGCATGTAATACTATAATCTTAAGCGAATTTTTATTTTAATCATCAACATTTTTCTCATAATTTGCTATGAAGTCAACAGTTGGCTTCATAGTGGAGCCAACTTTCTATATACAACATATAAACCTACCATATAAATAAAATTATATTATTGTTATTTAAGTAATCCGAGAATATGGTAGATTTACTTGTTGTATATAAAAAGTTGGCTCTACTATAAAGCCAACTGTTGGTTTCATAGGAAAACTACTCAAGCATGATTAAAGCAACCATTCACTGCCTAACCTAATTCTACTAATTTTTGACCTTTTGTTAGGTCTATTTTTCTAGGCATGATCTTTTGTTAGCTTTTCTTTTATATGAATTTGTGTCGTTGTCTTGATATATTATACGGGTGATCATCCTCGCGTAATAAGACCTTTGCTTTGTCATTGTTTTTCTTCAACTTAATTTTCTAAACTTATATATACAATGCATAATTCATTTAAGACTTTAGTCCTAGTGATTAAGGACGCATTTTCCTAACAAACTGACTTAAATGTCACATTTTTGTTCCTAGTGAAAAAAAAAAAAAAAAAAAANNNTTATGCTATTAAATTTTGTACATCTATTTACATTTTTTCTCCGTATGACATTTTTTAATGATATATCGTCTTAATGGTTAGACCGACCTAACACAAGACCAATGGTTCGAAAATTCGTTCTATGATGTACCTTCGTATTGTGAATTTTATTTATCTTATTATAAAATAGATGTTACTTATTCTTAAAGTATGTGCATAGGGAGGCTAACTTCGCAACTGATCATTTGAGTCTGGCGTTTTCTTCCCCGATCGGTTTGCAGCGGCTCTCCTCACCGCCCATCAGAATGGAAGCCTAACTTGACCATGACATTATGGGGGTGTCTTAGGGTGTCGACCTCCTTTATTGTACCAAAAAAAAATAAAATGAATTATACAATTAATAAACAATTCCTAACCTTGTAATTTGCATTTCATTCAATTATTGTAGTCCAAATCAGGAATGATAGTCTGGTCCCACCCGCAATTTGTTTGATTCGAATCTGGTAAATTGGGATCGAATGGTAAAGTTGGCAATTTGTCATAGCTAGACCACTATAAATTAGCCTTAATTTACTTTTTTCATTTGTCAAGATTTTCTACAGTAT